AACAGGTGGTTAAACACATTTTACACACTCCTAAACACACCCAAGTTGTAAAGGTAGCCATACAGTTGGCTGCCAAATGCCCTCTGAAATGGAATCCACCACAGATTCAGAGGGTACGGCAAGTGTAAACTAAACGGCTAAAGGGGTCTGAGGAGGACAGGGGAGGTATAGTACTGAGTTGCCCCCATGTACTCACAGATCACTATGCTCCATGCCCTGCAAAAGATGACATAAACTAGGATACTTTTAATAGATATTCTGTAGGAAATGTACTGCCCTAGTTGTTACTGTCTTAAGTGTTGATAAATATGGTGCACCATTACCTGATCCTTGATACAGGATCTGTGGGAGCTTTTAGTTACTGCCTGTCCATTTAAAACTTTTGTTTCTGCAAGATTTTAGTGTGAATATAAGAGTAGGACGACCTCAGCCAGCTCTGCTCCACAAACCACACCCTCTTATGAGTTTCACCCCGCCCACCAAGACTAAAGCAGGCCATACATGGGTCAAATCACGAACAAATTTTCTTTTGAAAATCGTAACTAAGAATTTTTGTTCAAATTTCGCACCGTTAGTGGGCCGCAGCATTGGACGATTTTTGTGCTGCCATCGAATTTGAGCAATCGAGAACGTTGGAAATATTTTGAAAGACTAAAGAATTTCTAATCAATGATGGGAGAATTGTGCAAGAAATTTAATTGAAAAAGAAATGAGCATGAACTGTGACCTTGAAAGTAAAGAATATTCCCAGCCATGGAAATTCTTTTATGTAGCGACATAAGGTGAAATTGAAGGCTTGGTTGATCAACTTTCGAAATCAATGGTGGCATCATCGGACTACAAACGCAAGAAATTTCAGATTTTTGGAAAAAAATAATTCAAAGTTCGACCCATGTGTTGTCTGCATTAGTCAGGGCAGGATGGATGTTGTTATGTATCAGCTAGTGAAAGCAAGGTGTGAAATTTAAAAACACGCTAAGTGTGTTAATGCAATTAGTGTGAGAACGGGTATGTGTAATGTGAAGGAATATGTAAGAAATATAATAAAAAAGGGGAAACCTGTCACTTTGATTGGGCCTGGAGTGCTCCTAGTTTAACTGGTAATTTTGCGGTCATGCAAAACTGTACCCAAATTACATTTATATCATTTGTTTTCCACACAAAGCTTTCTTTTGGTATTAATTGATCACCGATGTTTATTTTTTAATCATATAAACTAAAAAAGACCAAACATTTTGAAAAAATACAAATATTTTTTCTTTCTGCTGTAAAACATATCCAATTAAAAAAATTAAAAAAAATCAAATTTCTACTGTAAATTTAGGCCAAAATTTATTCTGCTACATGTTTATGGTAAAAAAAAATCCCAATAAGTGTTGTCAGATCCGAGGGGTAAACAGGCTCTTGGCAGATAGTTCAATAAACTTAAAATCCACATTATTTATCAGCAAACAGAAAATTGACAGGCTTTGTCTTCAGATTCAGCTGAAGCAAGACTGGTAAATCTTACCATCAGTACAACAGTTATATGAATAACTTTCAGCGTTTCAGCCACAGCGCACACAGGGGGTTATTTACTAAAACTGGAGAGTGCAAAATCTGGATAGAAACCAGTCAGTTTCCAGGTTTTATTGCCAAAGTTTAATTAAACAAGCTGAAGTTAGAGGGTCATTAGCTACCATGCACAGCTGCACAAGATTCTGATTGCACCAGTTTTAGTACAGTATTTCAAAGTCCTCGTTAGAGGCAAGTTCACCCAGCAGGTAAAAGTCAGGCTATGGAAACATTCAGGCTGCATCCAGGTCTCCTCCCTGAAGACAGCAAAACTGCCATCAACCATCCTCTCTGATCAGCTGGTTAATAAACAGGCCTGAAGGGAAAGAATCTTCCCTCTACAATTAACCCTCCTTTAACCCTGCCCCAGGCTGACTTTTCACAGTGTATATTGATTGGTTTGTGTGAAAGGTATAGTGTCTATAAACTATGGTATATCTACTGGAATTTTTATTTATTTATTATTTTTTTTATACTAGTAATGGTGGTGATCAGTGGCTTATAGTGCAACTGTGATAGTGCAGTGAGCAGTCTGACACTAAATGACACAGGGTGGGAACTCACTAACAGGCATTGACATCACCAGTGACACTAATACAATGATCAGTGAAAATACTATACACTGTCACTGTACTAATGACACTAGCAGGGAAGGGAAGGGGTTAACATCCCGGGTAATCAAGGGGTTAAGTGTGTGCCTAACAAGTGTTAATGTGTGTATTATGTGCTGCTTTTTGCTAAAAAATCTCTTTGTTCCTTCTCCCTGTGAAGGGAGAAGAAACAAAGAGATTGTTCCCTCTGTAAGGAGCCCTGTGTTGTTTGTCAACAAAGGATTCTGGGCTGTGATTGGACACAGCCGATCAGCAGGCCGGGACCTGCTGACAAAATCTCACTGTGTCTAATCAAAGTGGAATTCGGGGGGGGGGAGGGGGGAGATGGTGCACACATTCCCTTAGCATGGAAGCAGGAGCGATGTACAGGTTGCTGTGCCTGTATGAGAGCCGCTCATCCCGCAGTACAATGCAGGTGAGCGACCCCTGATATGCACTAACTTATCACTGACTATCCATTCTTTATGCTGTATTTTGTTTGAAGCACACTACTGCATTGTTTGAAAGAAAAAACTAGGTGCAAGAACAGTGTGCACCTAAACAACCTCAGATTATATCACACTCATTTACTCCTGTCTTGAAAGGTAAAAAAAAAAGTGGGCATACACCAATTAGGCCTACTTTTGCTGATTAAAACTGTCCTTTCTTCTAGCCAAATTTATACTGATGTATCCTCTGCAGTATTTTAACTCTTGTAGTAAAGCTCCTGTCTGTATCTATAGTCTCCAGTATATTTAGGCCTAGCCTTGCTACTTCAAGCAGAACTACACTGTACCCGAGCATCACAAACCAAAAAACTCCATTTAATTCATTTTACTATTCAAACAAACTCGCCCATCCATCCATGTCTCCATGATTAAATTTGCTGAAAAATCACTTTAAAAAAAACTAGTGTAGTGTTGTGCTCCCAAGTTCTAGTCTTTAGTTTCAGCCCCATGGCACTTGTGCCTTTCCATCTCCCCTGTAGACTCCAGGGAGTCAACTTCCATGGAGTAGCTTAGACAGGGGTTGTGCAGAGGTCACCCTCGTTTCATTCAATTCCAAAAATGTTATCAACAGGTAAATACAAAAATCTTCTTTATTGCATAAAGGAGTAAAAATATTCCATGGCAAACTTGCAATAATGCATTTCAGCCTAAAAACAGACCTTATTCATAGCACAGACCCTCGTCTCATTGCGGCTTCCTCATACAGGTACATGACAGAATGCCCAAACTTGTTCAAAAAGCACTTTATAACTACTCAACATCCCACACGTCATGACGCAACAGGTGGTGAGGGGTTAGAACCAATGTAAGGTTTTTTTTTCTGTTAGTCCCTGTATTTACTCTCTCAAATTTTCCTTATCAACAATGTCACTGGAAATGGGGGGGGCACCTGACCAGGAATACTGGGAAAATGTTCCAATGGTGGAACTTGTTCCTGTGGCAACTGTTTCCGAGTGTATTTCCCTCACAGTGAAATGTTTCCTCTTGAGTATGCAGGACAGGAAGCGAAGGGAAGACTGCCCAATGAGGCAAATACTGTATGAAAAAAAAAAAAAGGTTTTTCTCTCTCTCTACTTTATCTGAAATGAAAAAAAAAAGGATTGTGAATATTTTAATCCACAATGAATCCTATGAAACATTTCTTCAAAATATGCATTCATTTTGTTTTGCATTCACAGAAAAAGTGTTCATTTGTCAAGTTACCACAGCTGAATGAAGACTAGAATTGTTTTTAATCTAACAAGGCCATGCTTGACAGATTTAACAAAGTATGAAGCATTTTTAATTTATTTTTACTTAAATTAAGTGGTACTTGAAAAATGATAGTAAGAGATAAAATCTAAAATGTGAGATACACTGGATAATGTAACCTAGATAATTAGAAATGCACGTACAAAGAAGCTTGGGCCTCTTTTTAATTATGTGATAAAAGGCGTGTGTTTGCCTTGATTGTGGGGAAAGGGAAAAGATCTGCCAACTTAAAGCCACTTGTTGGGTATTACAGTCTTTATATAATTAAACACTAATGCCAGCATCAAAACTGAATTCCTCCAATTTTGTAATACAAAATTGTTTTTTATTATTAGACTGGTAATTAAAATGCAAGTAAAAGTGGAACTTTAGTCAGAAAATTAAGTCCTGCTAGATCACATTAGTCTGTCCCCTTTTGCAGATGTAGCGTATAGCTATTAAAAATAAGTGCCTATACTGTTTAAAACCAAGTAATACACTGTCTCACTCTGCTCTGCACCAGGGGCAGACTGACCATTGAAGCGCTCAGGCACTGCCCGAGGGCCCGGGGTCAGTAGGGGTCCCCATGAAATGCCCCTGGTACCTTTTATAGGCTTTTTTGGGTGTTCTTTGAGTGTGGGCAAGGACACGGGGGCCCCATGATTCCTTATTGTTCGGGGGCCCCATGAGTTGTCAGTCTGCCTTTGCTCTGCACATGTCCATTTGCTCTCTATTTTTCAGCTCTGTTCCGAAAATGTAGAGGCTGATCTGCTGGCAGCCTAAAGATTTACTGCTGTTCAGGGACTTTGGGCTTAAGCAAAATGGCAGCCTCCAGCAAGAAGGAACAGGAACAATGCTGGAGGCAATTTACAGCACACACTAATTTTGTTGACATAATTATTATTGTGGAATGTTTGTTCCTTGCTAAAGAAAATTATTTTTTATCAAGTTTTTATAGGTAAAGTTCCGCGCTTTGATAATATAGAATGCACCCACACAATGTATATATACACTGTATATATATTGGCAAAAGTATTAGGACATCACTCCAAATCATTGGATTCAGGTGTTCCAATCACCTCCATGGCCACAAGTATATAAAATCAAGCACCTAGGCATGCAGACTGCTTCTACAAACATTTGTGAAAGAATGGGTCGCTCTCAGGAGCTCAGTGAATTCAAGCGTGGTACTATGATAGGTTGCCACCTGTGCAATAAGTCTATCCGTGAAATTTCCTTGATACTAAATATTCCACAGTCAACTGTTAGTGGTATTATAACAAAGTGGAAGCAACTGAGAACAACAGCAACTCAGCCACAAAGTGGTAGGCCACGTAAAATGACAGAGTGGGTTCAGCGCATGCTGAAGCACACAGTGCGCAGAAGTCGCCAACTGTCTGCAGAGTCAATAGCTAGAGACCTTCAAACTTCGTGTTGCCTACAGATTAGCACAACAACAGTGCGAAAGAGCTTTCTCATAGAATGGGTTTCCATGGCCGAGCAGTCGCATCTCAGTCTTACATCACCAAATGCAATGCAAAGCGTCGGATGCAGTGGTGTACAGCATGCCACCATTGGACTCTAGAGCAGTGGAGACGTGTTCTTTGGAGTGACCAATCCCGCTTCTCTGGCAATCCGATGGACGTGTCTGGATTTGGCGGTTGCCAGGAAAACGATACTTGCCTGACTGCATTGTGCCAAGTGTAAAGTTCAGGGGCTGGGCTAGGCCCCGTGAAGGGAACTCTTAAGGTGTCAGCATACCAAGACATTTTGGACAATTTTATGCTCCCAACTTTGTGGGAACAGTTTGGGGATGCCCCTTCCTGTTCCAACATGACTGCGCGCCAGTGCACAAAGCAAGGTCCATAAAGACGTGGATGAGCGAGTTTGGGGTGGAGGAACTTGACTGGCCTGCACAGAGTCCTGACCTCAACCCAATAGAATACCTTTGGGATGAATTAGAGCAGAGACTGCAAGCCAGTGCCTGACCTCACAAATACACTTTAACAGTAAAACTCACTTTCAAAATGAACATGTTGTACTCCTTTAGTAAATTGAGTCATTGTGTAAAATAAAAACGTATGAGGCACTGGATGTAATATATTGGTGTGAGATAAGATAGAGTTATAAGGGGCTGCCTGAAATGGAGAAGCACGATACGCTCTACCTAAAAGAGAAATGCGATACTGTATGTAATACATACAGTAGGTATGAACAACTTCTTGTAATAGAGACGTATGATGCACTTTCATTTAAAGAGAGAGGTATGAGGCATTGTATGTAATAAGAGGTATAAGTCAATTAATGCAATGGAGAAGTATGAGCAACTGCATGCAATACAGATCAGTTAATTTGTCAGGAAGTAACCCACAGAATACAAACATTCTCCTTTCGAAGACTTTTATAGTGCCACATTCAGCTAGCAACATTATATATCCACTTTGTATATATATAAATTAAAGTGATATGAAAGGTTTGTTTTTTTTCTTATAACAAACATATTAAACTTTCCTGCTCTCTGCAAGGGTTTTGCACAGAGCAGCCCCGATCCTCCTTCTCAGGCCCCCCGCCAGCGATCCAGGCCCCCTTCTGTCTAGTGCCCCCATAGCATGCAGCTTGCTATGGGGGCACCCGAGCAGACTCACTCCTGAGCTGCTGCTCTGTGTGTCCATTCACACACGGAATGCAGCTCGGCCCCATCCTGCTCTCTTCCTATTGGCTCACTGGTTGTGATTGACAATGGCTTCCGCTGCTGTGTCGGCCAATGAGGAGGGAGAGATCTGGGACAGCTGAGGCTCTCATGCACATCGCTGGATTGAGTATTAGGGGAGCTTGGGGCTCTGCTGCACACAGAAGGTTTTTTTACCTTCATGCATAGATTGCATGAAGGTAAAAAACCCTGAGCCTTTACTACCACTTTAAAAACAATTGCAGATTATTATGTTCTTATATCCCAAAAGTAAACGGTAGTGAACTTTACATTTGTCGATATCTACGTATCCAAGTTGACAACAATTATCCACATAAATTGGATTGGGGCAGTCAAAACTCAATGCGTTTTACAAAAGCCTTCATGAGGAGTTCAGAGGTACTGTTAGATTTAATAATTAAAGCGCATAATCATGAGGTTTACATTATTAACAGATCAGAATGATAGTATACATTTTGAGGCTAGAGCCTTCTTCATTTAACCTCCCTGGCAGTATTCCTGAGTGTAGCTCGGGGTAAAGTTTCAGTACCACAAGCGGTAACCCGGAGCTACACTCAGGAATACCATGCGGCGCTGCTCTGCTTTCCCTCGATCACTTACCTTGTCCTGCACTCCCGCGATGTCCCTCCTGCAGTGTCCCCGGCAATTTAATCCGGCGGATGCCGGCATCTGTCATCTGTGTTCCATCCCCTGCGAGCGTTGAGACGTACGGGGGACGGAACGGCGGGAAATTTCAAAATGACAAAAAGTGACATTCACTAAAATCACTAAATTCACATAGTAAAACATTACTGTATCAAACCAATTCACATACATTTTGTCCCTAGTGCTTTGTCCTGTGCCCTGCCTGCATTTTTACTGTTCTTATTGCCTGGAAACTGAGAAACGTCCATGGCGTCCAAAAAGCGTCCCTTTAGGTCAAAAGCGGTTTTAGACCAGCTAGAGAACAGCGATAGTAAATCAGAACCACTTGCAGAATTGAGTGATAATGATTCGTGGGGAAATTCGTCATCAGACACTGAAAACGTTTTTGCGACTTTGCTCAGTGATGTGCGAACTTGGCGCTATATTTCAAATTTCAGTGTTTTTGGTTTGATTATATTATTGAATTAATTTATTATTATTATATTATTATTTTTTATGATTATTTATTAAATTATAATTTATATAATTTTTGTGTTTCAAGTTTTATCCTACCCGGGATGTTTACTAGACTCTTGTTCGGACAGATTTCAGTGAGTTATTCCTAAGAATTACAGGCCTACAATATAAACCGCCAAATTTCCATGCAAAATAATGGTACTGCTTTCAGCACCAAAAATCTGAAATAATCATACCGCCAGTGAGGTTAACTTACTATAAATATATATACAGTATTTTGTATCATTGGAAGGCTGCTACCTCCAGTGAAACAAAGTAACCTGCAATGGCTACACCAAACAAATGGCTGGTACACATCTCAGCACAGTGTTCTTAACAAATGGGATCTACCTGTGCTCTCTTTTTTTCAAGTTGCCGCAACCTGAAAGACTCCTCCCCTGAGTCATCAATGCACCAGCTGCCCCCAGGGCCAGAGGCATGCCTGTTTTTCAGCCCACTAAAAAGTTCTATATTAGCTTTTTTTGTACTTGGTCTTCATTAACAAGTTGTGTGGTATATTAGTTTTTGCTACAAAAAAGAATTTGGAAAAATATACCAGTCATAGGAAGATCAAGACAAATAAGAGATTAAGGGGAATCAAGTAGGAAATCCCTAAATTCCTCTAAATACTTTAAGCAGTGTGTTCGGCTTGAATGGAAGCACCCCATGAACTCTAATACTCTGTATTTTCTGCTCTGTGATTATTTTCTGGACACTGATATGACAGGCCACTGCTATTTCATATATTGCGGAATCAGGAAGCCTGCAATATGTGGTGTGCTACTGCTGCTTCCAAATTGGCATGGAAATGCCAGGCTCATTTAAGTTAACTGGCAGTGATGGCTTTAATTCCTGCAAGTTAGTTTCCTGGCTTCTCATTAATTAAGAAAATAGTGGAATTTCTTTCCTGTTGTAACTAGGCATACTTTGTGGGACAGTCCTGAGGTTGCATGAGGACAGCTACATCATAAGCATGGTACTGCAATGCTTTTCTGTTATTCTCTTTATGCCAACAAGTGAGATTGTGGTTATTAGAACAATTGAAATAGGGTTAAGCTGTCCAATGCGTGAGTGTGGTAATGAGGTCTAGATGTAATGCCAAGCTAACAATCTCTGCCTGGATTTGCACATGATTGCACTAAGAATGTGACAGATTCTGATCAATAAGATATGAAAATAGCTACCAACTTAATTTTACAATACATATTCTTGTATTCAATTTTTTTTTTCAAGTATGTGTGTAGGTGTCACTAAGTGATCAGCCTACCCAAAAATATTGAAAGGTAGTTAATGACGTCTTTTATCCTGTTATGTTCAGGTCTCCTGAATTGAAATTTGCAGGTCTGCCCTCTTGCAGCAGCTATCAGGTCTCTCTCCTTGTTGAATTTTTAAAAGCATTAAAATGTTACTAAACCCAGGACCCTGCATTCACTATATCTGGACCCCCACGGTACATAAAACATGGAATGCAATTATTTTAGTAAATACAAACTGCTGAATACCTTCTCCCATCAGCAGTTAGAGCAGTCTTGTGGCTTCTATCAGTGTCCAGCAGAGCACTGGTTAAAGCTTGTAGGAGGAGCTCTCATTATCCTCTCACTGTCCTATGAGATTACAGGACCCCTGACCCTCTGTCTGGACAGTGCTGATTGGCCCTGTGCTGATCACATGCACTCTCCCAAGAAAAATAAAAAAAACTCTGTAGCAATACACACCAAACTGAGCATGTGCAGAGTGTCCCCGAGGCTGTGTTCTATCAGGAGATGAAATGGGGAATGTGAAAGACGGGGAGGATCAAAGAAGACAAATGTCCTTTTTACACAATGCAGTTGATTAACCACAGTGAGTATAACAAGCATGCTGTCATAACACTTCTGGATCGAATGCGGGAAGCACAGGAGCTGCGGGGGTTAACTTTTTTGCATTAACCAGCAGGTGATTGGCTGCTAGGACTGCCCTGCTTCCAATTAGCCATTGGTTAACTTAAAAAGTTAACCCTGGCAGCTTCCACGCTCTTTTTAATGCTGTGCTTCCACATCCAATCCATAAATGTTATGACTGCTCATGCTCCCGCAATCTTTTCAATACTGTGCTGTTACTCCACACTCACTCCAGAAATGTTCAGTCTCCTGCTGTCCGCTCTGCTGTTATAACAGTGGTGGAGGATGGGGGGAAAGAAGTGGCTACTAAATGGCATGATCAGGTCAGCATGAAACAGTGGCTAGGTCCGCATCCGCACAGCGGTCCGCCATTTAGTGATGCCTGTACTACAGGCTTTGTGTAATAAAAAGTCTACTAGAAATTAGCTTTGAAATTGGTTGAAGGTATTTTTTTTTTAGCTTCATGCATTCTAGGCACGAAAGTAAAAAACCTTCAGTGTGCAGTTTCCCCTGCAGCCCCCCCCCCCAATACTTACCTGAGCCCGATCCAGTGATGTGCAGGAGAGCTAAGGCTCTCCCAGGTCTCTCTCTCAATGGCTGAGACACAGCAGCAGGAACCATTAGCTGTCATCTGCTGTCAATCACAGCCAGAGAGGAGGGAGCAGAAGGTGGGACTGAGCTACGCTCTGTGTAAACCATAGACACACAAAGGCAGATAGGGAGTGAGCATGCACGAGTGCCCTCAGGGCAAGCTATTGTGCTGTGTTTATTATTTAAAGAAAAAAATAAACCTTTACAGCCACTTTAGCTATTATATATTCACATTTTTTACCTGCAAAGAATTTGTAATTCTGTACAGTCAACACTGTATTTGCGGTGTTACAGGTTCCAAACTGTACAATCAGACTGGTGACACACGTAATTCATAGACTGAAGTTTATCATCTTTTTGGTTTGGTAATTCAGCTTCCAATGGTATATTTTAACCTCTAACATCCTCAATGGGCAAGGAATCGGAATCAGCACCTCTAAATAGAAAGAGCAATCCAGGAAGTAATCATGCTAAATAAGGAAGTAGTATTATGATCTTACTGACTATGACTTAAAAGGAGAAGGGGGCCTTTTGGACCCTTAAATGGGGTTGGAACCTGTAACACCGCAAGAAATGCAAAAACATTGAGTCCAAAATTTCCTTGATTTTCAGTTTAGTGCTATGTATGTTACTGTCATAGACTTTCTTGCACCCACTGTGTCACCAGGGGTGACAGGTGACTGGCAGAGAGGATGGATGATAGATCAGTGTAAGTTTTCAGATAGATAATCAGATAGTCAGTAGATGGGTCAGCAGACTGGTGATCAGATCAGGGGCAGGAAAATAAATCCTAAAGAGAGCCCAGATTCCATCCAGGGAGTCAAGGTAATGGCCGACAATAGCAGAGGTACAGTATAGGGAAGCTAAGTACAAATGCTGTCCAAGTATTTGCAGAAATATTATAAGGTGTGAACAGACAGAAATCAGACAGATCTGTAAATGAGCAGACAGACCAGTCACTTGATCAGGCAAGACTGAATGTCTAGCAGTCTACTTAAGCATTATTTATTAGGGCAGGTGTGCACTGCAGATACTTGAACTTACACATTCTGATCTCAATTTAAATCAGTCGTATAACATGATGCCAACATTATAACACCAAGATAGATCTAGCACCACTCTTCAATTACTTTCTCAAATACATGCCTATTGGAAATCTTAACCTTTGACCCCCTCAACAACTTTTTGGCTGGAGTTTGATTTATGCTAAATTATGGAAAGACTGACTTTCTTCAATGGCCTTTATACATATAGTCAAAATGTCATAAAATTACAATCTTTCAAAAATAAGACAATTGGTATCTATCTAGTTTGTATTTTATATCTTTATTTATTATTTTTTTTTTATCTCTCTTTGCAGTATTGTAATAGATAACTAATGAAAAATACTAACTTCTGAAAAAGGTAAATTACATACAGTATGAAAATCTGAGCATTGTGTACACAAGTAGAGATCATTCTGAGAATATCACCTGAGTGAACTGTACTCTAGTTCTCACACTGCTATCAGATTACGAAACTCAGAGCATAATTGCTGAGTAAACAAAGCATAATGAAGTACAAACTGAACAATACAAAGAAATAAATCAAGATCATTATTAAGCATTGCACAACAGATGTAATAGATGTCTGACAACACAAGTCTGTTGCAGGAGAGATAAAACAGATATTTCTGTATCACTATCTCAGAATTTTATAATGTGAAACAGAGAAATATGTATATATACTACAGAGATATACAGGAGACATAGGCAGGCTACAGTTTGGTAGATGTCTGACTAAGGCTCCATGCACACTAGTGGGTTTTTTTAAGCTCAAAAAACACAATAGCGTAATAGCGTTTTAGTAGCTTTCTAGTAGTGTTTTTAGTAGTATTTAGAAGTGTTTAGAAGCATTAGCATTTAATTAGCGTTTTTATAGTACATGTAGTGGGGGAAAAAAAGCTGGAAAAAAAAGCTATTAGGAGCATTTTAGTAGCATTTTGAAGTATTTAGGAGTGTTTAGTGTTTTTTCTGTTGGAAAAAAACGCTCCAAAAAACTCTACAAAAACAATTTTTATTCTGCTTCTAGACGCTAAAGCTCAAAAAATGCTAATAGCCTCAAATAGTGTATATGTACACATAGGATAACACTATTAGGCTTCTAGGAGCAGAAAAACGTATGCTGATAATTGCTTCTAGGAGCTTAACCATTTGCCTACCGGGCATGTATACCCCCTTCCTGCACAGGCCAATTTTCAGCTTTCAGCGCTACCACACTTTGAATGACAATTGCACAGTCATGCAACACAAATAGAGCTTTCTTTTGGTGGTATTTAATCGCCACTGGGTGTTTTGCGCTATAAACAAAAGATTTGAAAAAACAAGTTTTTCTTTGTTTCTATTATAACATTTTGCAAACAGGTAATTTTTCTCCTTCACTGATGTGCATTGATGAGGCTGCACTGATAGGCAGCACTGATGGACACTGGTGTGGAGGCACTGATAGGCATCACTGATGGGCAGCATTGATAGGTGGCACTGATGAGCTGGCACTGATGATGCTGCACTTATAGGCATCACTGATGGTCAGCACTGCTGGGCAGCACTAATGGGAGCCACTGCTGGGCAGCACCTGTGCACCTGTGCCCATCAGTGCCACCCACCTGTGCCCAGCAGTGCCACCCATCAAGGTGGCACAGGTGGGTGGCACTGATGGGCACAGGTGGGTATCACTGATGGGCACAGGTGGGTAGCACTGATGGGTACAGATGGGAGGCACTGATGGGTACAGGTGGGTGGCACAGGTGGGCGGCACTGCTGGGCACTGATCATCAGGTCACTGATCATTATTGCCGATCACTTCTCTGACAGTTGCCAGTTATCGGCAGTACTTTCCTCATGCTGTGACAGCGTGAGGAAAGTGCAGTCGATAACCGGCAACTGTATTTACCCGGTGACCTGCTGTGTCATTGGACACAGCTGATCACATGGTAAAAGGCTGCTGTGATTGGCCGTTTACTGTATCACATGATCAGCTGTGTCCGTAGTACACAGCTATCACTGGCAGCACCAAGTGGGCGCCACTGGGGGCATGTTCTGGAATGATGTGCATGGACGTTGTCCCAGAACTAGACAACCGCGCTGTAGCCGTCTTTTGGCTATAGAGCGGTAGGGAAGAAGTTAAAAAAAAACGCTAGTGTGCATGTCTTAATCAGTTGGGGAGACATCTGTGTAGGTAGGTGCAGTTAGCTACTTTGCCACTAGGTGGCCCTGTACCAGAATAGTGTCTGGTTACAGCTAGTGTCTGGTTACAGCAGAGAGTGTCACCAGGTGCTAGGACCCTTTTAGGTAGAGCACAGTGATGTTAGGGGTGAGTCAGCATCCATATATAAGTCAGGTCATGGGAGCTAAACAACCCACACCTATGTAGATGTAGCAGGAGAAAAAATTGTGACAGTGAAGGGAGCTCCAGCAAATTGGCAGCCCCATGGGGGGGGAAACTCTTCCTCCAATCCACTCTTAGAGCAATGTGATGAGTTGTAGCCTGTGCACTGCAATGTTGACATTGCCCAACACCTGGGGATGAATTCAAGGATGCCATTTCCCAGGGACAGATACCTCACAACATGGACTGTCCTCAGGAAACAGGGACAAATGGTGACCTTAATTTAATCCAATCAGATATTTTGTAATCTACAAAAAAAAGAGTTAATATTCAAAGCTGGGATTTAGTTACCTTTTTTTAGCCATGCAGCATCAGGGACATAACTTACAGTAGCTCTAATATAGGGTGTCCCATGACTTGCTTTCTGCTGGTTAGTTACGAAATCTTCCATACAGTGATCTTTCGGCACTGTAGGGGTTAAGATCAGTGTCTCTGAGTGTGAATCTTTGACGCTGCTTGGCCTCCCATTTGTCCTTTCCCCTCTATTCACAAAACTTGTACTATTCTTTCATTGCTGTTGGGGTGTCTGGCGTCACTGAGGGTCGATTTTTACACTAAGCAGCAGCCAGCAGGACATTGGACACACTTCATTAGAGGTAAGGTATGTCCCTGGTGCTGCATAGCCAAAAAAAAATAAATTTAACTTCAGCTTCAAATCATATCAAATACATGTTGCTTGTATTGATTGCTAATATACTGCATGCATAGATCTGTTTAAATGAAACATAAATATGAATGGAAACATATAGGTATATTTCCTGGAATCCAACTATTTGATTCCAAATGTTGGCTTTGTCACATTATTGAATGGATAACTGCACTTTGCTCAAGGAACACGCACAATTGACTATGGCAGCCGACTCATTAAAATTATTTTCGTACCTTATTTGGGTCAATGACTTATTACTTCAACAGAGCACACATTTGTCCTTTGTATTTTGGACCAACAAAATGGCTTTAGTCGTTTGGTTGTTTGT